AGGATAGATGTAGATGTCTATGGGTCACAGTAACCACTTACCATCAGGTGGACTGTGTGCTCGTTTGTCACCCGATCCTATAAAAAAAAATTGTTTCTAATCAATAAATGTTATTATACTTTATATGAATACCTGAATGACAAATGTAATACTACAAATAAATGATGATTAATATGAATAATGATAGTATAATAATAATAAATAATATAATAATAATGAATGATATAATAAAATATATTTGCGTCCTTCTCTGTTCTTTTTAGGGTTCCGTACCTCAAAAGGAAAAAACGGAACCCTTATAGGATCACTTTATTGTCCGTCTGTTTGTCTGTCTGTCTGTCAAGACCCTTTTTCTCAGGAACGCGTGTAGGTGTCAAGCTGAAATTAACAAATACTCAAGTCTACTGTCCCTTGGAGCTGTGAAAAAATCAAACTTCTAAGCCAACTTAATCACAAGATACAGCCGTTTATGCCGCAAATTTTCGACATTCTCAATGGAAACCTACAGGATACTTCCCGCGAAATCAGAATCTTAAAATTTGGTACAAAGCAACGTTTTATAGTACAGATAAAGGAAAAATTGCGAAAAGCAAAAATTTTTAGTTACATTATATAATAAAAATATTTTTCATAATTTTAAACTTATATACCTACGGATTTGTTCGGAGCCTTCGGTGCGCGAGTCCGACTCGCGCTTGGCCGATTTTTTTTATAGAAGAGGGGGCAAACGAGCACGCGGCTCACCTGATGGTGACTACCGCCGCCCATGTACAACCTCAATACCAGGGGAATTGCAGATCCTTTGCCGGCCTTTTAAAAAGGTGTGAGCTCTTATCTTGTTCTAATTTGCTATACCCAACAGGGTCCATATTGTAATAATTTAATTTATATATTTTCACATTATGGAATGCAAATAAATATTGAGTATTGAGTAAACACGCTTACGCTTACATTATATAAAGCGCAGGTCCGGTCGTGCATTGAGTGTTGCAGCTATTTATGGGCTGGTGCTGTAAAATGCCTCCCAGCGGCTTTCGTCTCAACGGAAAGGCGTGCTAAGTGGATTATTGGTGTCACCAATATAGAAAGAACCATGTCTCACCAGTAAAATGTTACCAAACTTGAGCACAGGTACCTATATAAGCTAAGTACAGCCTTTACGTGTATTACAGGATGCATTTTGGAGAGAGTGTACAGGAACTGCATGATGTAATTCCTGCCTGCCCATTACATCATCGGACGCTCAACTGGTCTCTGCTTCTTTGCATACCACGTATTTGAACCTAACGGTTTGCTTCGTCGTTCATAAAGCGTAACTGCAGCAAAAGAGTCAAATAATTTGCCAGCATCTGTCTTTCCATCCGATTAAAATGTGGGTGTCTTCAAGGGAAGAGTAAATAGGCCTGTATTTAGCTAAGTCATTGCGCTTTACCATGTTTGCATGCATCACCACATACCATCAGTTGGGATAGTGAAATAAAATAGGCAGGTATGGATAATTTAATTTAAAACTGCACTTTATTTTTGGTAGTTTTTGTCATTTTTTCGTGTTTAATATAATAAAAATGCTAAAAGCAATAAATCAATCAATATATTTTTATTGTACAACAATACAAATTAAAATGACAAACAAAATAAAATAATTTTAAAGTCTGTACAAAAGGCAGTCTTATCGCTCTTGAAGCGATTTTTTCCGGACAATATTTTTGCAACTGTTGTTTACAATGAATTTCTAATAAGGTAGGTAAGGTAATAAATTAGATAAATATGTAAAAGCATTGAGTTATATGTACTACGTACTAGAGAAGCCATTCCGAACATAGACTATGTTCAACTGAACTGTAGTGCAATCCATACAAACAAAATTTTGCGTAAATTGAAGATTTGTGAATTCCATAAAATAATAATTATTACATTTTATTTAGAAATATAATATGTTTGTTTAAATTAAATTAAGATATTTTATATTAAATTCTTATATTTATTTTATATAAATATCTCATTTTATATCAAAGTCTTCGCCCATGCAAAGACATAGAGTAGGACACAATTTTTGTTTGGAATGGCTTCTCTAGTACGTAGTACATATAACTCAATGTGTAAAAGGAAATAAAAAAAATATAAAAACACAAGATAATGACAGATTTTTTTTTCTATTTTAACTTTTATTTTATGCCAGTGTTAAAATAAAGTATGTATAATGTATAATATATAGCGCAAACAGTACTAATGTTGGCACTCCTACAATGATTGGCACTTTGCTATTTTAATCTGAATATTAAGAATGTTTTCCTTTTTCTATATCACAGCTACACAGATATTGCTAAGATATATAATTACTTATACTAACAACACATATTTATATTTAAAGTGTCAACTATTTTCCTATGAGGGCTGTTTTAAAAATGTGCTTGAACAAATTCGTTAAAATTTGACAAAAAGTTAAGGTTTGGTGGCTAGATTTTGAGACAAAAAAAAAAAGGGATTTTTAGGTAAGTTTGTATGCAAGTTTCTATCGTCGATGTCGAAGCAAACAAAAATCTTTTAAAAAAGTTTTAAAAATATTTATAGAGTTTTTTTCATTCCCAAATAACACAATATCAAAAAGCAAATAGCATGTATATAAGACCGTTATTTTGTCCTGACAAGTGAAGATTCGGAAGCAGCGGAGCTAAAAAACAATGAAAAAATTGGGCACAAATGGAAAAAGCAGTATTGAATTAGTCAGTCAAATATATACAAACAAAGCCAAAAAATCTGACATTATAATACTCTCTAAATGTTTAATCTAAAAAACCAAAATAAAGGTCTATTTTTACAAAATATCGAGAAAACACGAAAGGTTTTACTAAAAAAGGCACATCAAAAATGTATCCGAAGAAAGAAAAAACATGGTAGACCAACGAAACCGCTTTCAGATGAACATCTAAGGAAAATATTGAAGAATATTTGTTCAAAATAAGATGGAGCTTAGAAAGATCTGGGAATAACTTTTTAAGACTTCCAATGGTGCCAATGATTATACTTAATTGACAGTGCCATTCACTATGCTGAAGTGCCAATGATTGTAACATTCCCTAGAAAAAAGTTTAATTATATTTTTAAATTAATTAAACATATATTTTTAAAAACAATGCGTTTTTTTATTTATAGCTATGTAAAATAAAATCCAATAAAACAATCAAAAATATAACAGATTTGTTTATTTACGAGAATTAACAACTTACAAGTGGAAGTCAGCTTAAAGTGCCAATCATTATACTGTTTACCCTAGTACGTTAATAGAGGTGCATTTAGTTTTATTCTTTTTTTTTCTCTATTTTAGCTTTTATTTTATGCCAGTGTTAAAATAAAGTATGTATAATGTATAATATATATACGCCTTATTACTAGCTGCTCAGAAAATTTTGACCAAGACACCCACCAGAATAACAGTGCTGTGGAAATTTAAAAAAAAAACAACATATAAAACTAATATTGTCATTCCTTCATGTGCATAACACTTGTAAGTGTTTTCGTCAATTTCATTTTGGCTTCGTTTTAGCCATTTCGTTTCCCCTTGGCAAAATGCCACGTCTAAATATATAAGTCACAAAAATCGCATGATTGCAATTCAGTGCTCTTCTCTTGATAACTACTGCAAGATATCAGTTTGTATGGTAAGGTATAGTAAGTGTGCAATGTTTATGAATCGTTATTTATTGCAGCTTCAGTGCAGGGAGCGTTGCTTCGAGACGCTTTTCATTTGTAAACAAGCAACGCACACTCATACAAACAAACGCGCTGAAATGATTATATGGGAATCCATATATATATAATAACCAATTTTTATTCTCCACAAAATATGTATGTATGTTTCTAATAATCTAGTACATCCTGTCCTGTCCTGTCCAATAATCCGCACTGTCATTTTAAAATTATTAAATTTATAATAGAAAAGTATTCAATGCTTATTAATGGTTTCGTCAACAAGTTCTTGAGAGCGTTTTAGGGCAAGGTAGTGTCCGCCGCGCTGGCCCAATGTGTGCTGGCGGACTTCATATGTCTTCGAAACATTTTTTTTTATATCTCAAACATGCAGGTTTTCTCACTATGTTGATGGAGAAATGAGATGAAGCCTGTGCTTAGAAGTGAGACGTATATAGGCTGTAACTTTTAACTTTAACAACAAGTCCCTTGTGTACTCGTTGTTTATTATAACCAGCTGGCCCAGCAGACGTTGTGGGGTGCGATTAGTTTTTCTTTCCAAGTTCGATTCCAAAGGACTTTTCACAAAAAATTATTAGTATTTCGACCGCAGCGGCACCTATCGGATCCTAGTATAGCTATGAACAATTGTCTCGACAAAACAAATATAGTATTGTATGAATATGACCTCAATCGTTCAATTCTGAACAGCAAACAGACGCACCAACTGTTATATAAACAAAGATGTTTTATTTTATAGCTTTGTAATGACAATGTCGAACAAAGTAAATAAAAATCGTAACAATATTATTACTTCATACACATTTTATATTTGTTGGTATTAAATTATGTAGTAATAATATTCTCACGTGATAGAAACGAGCTACAGCTATTTTAAAGTTGTAGCATGACCGGGGTAGGGCCATGCTCTCAGAGAATACCAGCGTAAAATAGCAGCTCAATGCTGATGTGTATCGTATGGTGAAAGAGTAGAGAACCGGAAATCATTTTTACTGGAAACGATGCATTCCATCTTAGTCCTCAGGGGTATCAACGCATCTGCATTTTGATTCTTAGTCAAGGATAGATGTAGGTGTCTATCGGCCACAGCATCCACTTACCATCAGGTGGGCTGTGTGTTCGGTTTGTCACACTTATTATATAAAAAAAATATATAATAATAAGTAATAGTTTATCCGCTGCGATATTTTCGTTCACTGTACGTTGCTCTTACCGTGACTTTGAAATTGTTACATTCAGCGTTATTCAGTATTATTGCGTACGTCGACCGCGCGGTCACGCGAATTTTCGCTATGGTGTGTGATAATACCAGGACCGAAGAACAGCTGCTACCTTTCGAAGAGGCATTGGAAAAGACTGGTAAATTTGATTCAGAGGAGAATTGGTTTGATTTAGTGGATTGTGTCTGCTGTATGAAAGTGCTTTGTAGTCCCCTTTATTGTTTCGATTAAAAGTCCAATATCGATTATTGAACTTTTTTTAAAGAGAGTTAAGAGTTAAGTTATATTATTGTTATTGAGTGGAAGCTGAAGTGGCAATAGGTGGAAGAAACGACAAACAATGGGGAAGAAAGTTTTTCGAGAGACAGCCTCGTAAGTGACGACTTGATGAAGCGCACAGGTAGCAGATGCAGGCGACTCAGGACCGTAATTCGTGGCAATCTATGGAAGTCTACGTTCAGCAGTGGACTTGAAATAGGCTGTAGTAATAGTAATGGTCATAGTGATTGTTTACTTATCACTAAAATAAGCTTATTACAGTCATTTGGATTCTGGGATGTGTATGTTTTGCGTATCTCTAACATTGCTCCGGGCACTATATGATATATCTTGATAGCGTTCTATAAGCAATGCTTCACTAACAAACAAGTGCGCTTCTTTGTTTGGGCAAACACTTTTGGTTTATTTTCTTCCATATGACCCTCGAAACAGTCCACTGCTGGACTAGATGCACTAGATGTCTCGCATGATTGACGCGTTAGAAGATTTATTTCTGCATGATGTGGCTGTTTTATACCCGTAAGGGTTTTTGAGTTTGAGTGGTAACAGAGGAAACTTAGAGTCATTGAGCAGACAAAAGACTTCGATATACTTATAGCGCAGGCAGACTTCATATGTTCTAGATTTATATTTATTATAGATACAGATTTTCTCACAATGTCTTTCTTAAATTAAATTGTATGATTAACAACCTTAGTAACGGAACCCAGTGGAGTTAAAGTCTGACATCAGTACGAATCTCAAGCGTTGCTCGAGTATTATGAAATTTAATTTAAGCATTCTTCAACGGTTCGGACTCGTACAAAGAATGAAAGAAGAAAGAGTAAACAAGCAATATTTTATTGTATCGCACATCGCGACAAAACTCATCCATGCCATCTGGATGATTGGCGGTCCACTACTGTGCGATTTAGAAGAAGTTTTCTCCCTCGCACAACTTCCTTGTGGAATCGATTACCGATACGACTTAGGAACCTTCAAAAAAAGAGCTTACACCTTTCTAAAAGACCGGCAACGCATCTGCAATTCCCCTGGTGTTATGGTTGTTCATGGGCGGCGGTAGTCACTTACCATCAGGTGAGCCGCATGCTCGTTTGCCCCCTCTTCTATAAAAAAAGCAAATTTATGCTGCAGGAGTGAGTAGCATTGTTGGCAAGGGACGTCCTCACGAACATTTTTCGACCAAATTGAAAATTGTACTAAAGATGGGCCGACTTAGAACTGATCTAAGCCGACGAGCATTTTTTTTATATATATAGACGTTGTTCTGCCCTTTCCGAAGATCATGTGTCCTAAAAAAAATCCTTAAATTCACAATAAAAAAAATTGAGGGTCACTTATCGGGATAAAAACTATCCTATCTCTCAAGTTGGACCAATATTATATCGTTATGAAGGAAGCGAGAGAAGTGTATATTATTAATGAATCACTTGTATATACAAGGACTTTTTTAAAGAAGGACTACACGGGGAAGCCGTCGGAAATTTAAGCACTTGTCCCACCGCACCGCCAACGATGAACGAAAAGCGAGTTGGTCTCTCAACAGTTGGTCGCTGGAGCATCGCTGAGCGAGTTTTATCTTTGATAGCTCTTATCGCCGCGACAAACTAGTGAAGGGAGTTCTCATCGGCAGTGTCAACAGCTAGCGATCAACTGTTATATGTATCTATTGTATTGACACGGGATCTATATCTATTGTTCGTTACTTGAGCTAGAAAATAGTCGATAGCTAATTACTTGCTCGTCGGTGGTGGGACAAAAGCCTTAGAAAATATTCTCAGGGAGACTTAAGTTACCCACAATGTAGAGACGAGTATGTCAAGCAGAACAAAATGGATGATGAAAAAGATATTTATCAGAATGGTCTTTTTTGTTCTACGTATAATTAAAATTTCACAATTATAATTAAAATTATTGCGTATGAAAATATAAAAGGCATTAACCGAAGTTATCGCTAGGACATTGTGTTCAAAAACCGAACTTCGCTTGCTGTCGCAAACACTACGTGCGTTTCACAGTTGAACAGCTTGTTTGAATTTGATCAACTATTCAACGCTGTGCAAAACAAACAAATTAATTTTAATTGAACAGTTAAACAAAAGCATTAATTGTTTCGAGCAAGTGTTTCTACGGCATAATTTTCAATTATGTTGCTTTTTTAATGAATTCATGAGTCTTAAAGAATATGGGTCATCATTATCATTAGAGCCATATATTCATAATTCAACTGCTGGACATAGATTTACGAGTACATTTATTGCCTTCAGTGACTTACGTAACATAATTTTAAATAATAAAGAAGACCTGTGCTTTGCTACGGAGGCAGGGCGGACATGGCGAACGCTATGTCCTGGCGAAAATGTTCCACTGCATACAGCATGGGCTGGGGACAAAAATTTTATTCCCCAATTATATCCACTGACAAGAAATAAAATTATCTTGTCCCTATGCCAAAGCACGGCAACGGTGAGAAGTATATCCTCTTGACATAACGAGTAGACATATATCCTCCGTCCGTAGCATGGAGCCAAATGAAAGATAAAAAATTATACTTTTTTTGACATTTAAAAGGGACAATTTTATCCTAGTTCATTGAACGTGGGTTTAAGTTTATATTCATATAAAAAATCTATCTAAGTCTAAATCAATCTCCCATTTTATCTACTGTGGATATTATATCCACCGGTGTGCCCATGCTCGTAGGGTGGATAAAACTAAGCGAGCGGATAAACATTTTCTCCTTTCCACGGGGACAAAATTGTCTCCTGCCCTTGCTAGCCGTTGGTACAGGGCGTGCAGAAAGATTTGTTTCATAATTTCCATAGTGACCAAGATCAGGCGCGCCTTCTAGCTGTTTCGACTAAGGAATCTAGTCACTGGTTACACGCTTTACCATCAAGTAATCTCGACACATTACTTGATGGGGAAAGTTTGCGCATCGCCATAGGAATTCGACTAGGAGCGGGGATTTGTCAACCACATCAATGCACCTGTGGTAGCAGGGTTGACGAGTTTGGGCTCTACGGACTTTCATGTAAGAAAAGTGCTGGTTGGTTTTCACGGCACGGTTCTTTGAACAATGTTATCCGATGGGCTCTTGTCTCTATAAATATTCCCTCGGTTTTAGAGGCTTGTGGAATATTTAGAGACGATGGCAGGAGACCCGACGGTATGACATTGTTTCCTTGGGAGAGAGAAAAGCCCTAGTGTGGGATGCTACTGGCGTAGACACTCTGGCGGCCTGGCGGATGAGAGGGATGAGAGGATCTCATCTCAGGGGTACCTCGTTAAGAGCCGGTGCGGCATCAAAGGCAGCGGAACCGAGTAAGTGGCGCAAATATGAGTCTCTGAGAGATGACCACATATTTGTGCCTTTTGCTGTAGACACTATCGGTCCATGGGGTCCACGTGCGGTGAAATTCCTAAAGGAACTCTATCCGCGACTGGTCGTTGCTGCTGGTGATAAGAGGGCTGGTTCCTTTCTCGCTCAAAGGCTAAGTATAGCCATTCAGTGGGGAAACGCAGCCAGCGTTCTTGGCACGATACCGCGTGGAGTAGGACTATATGATAATTAAGTTACTAGGTTTAGTTGTTTTTTATTATAGTTTTTAATATTGTTTATAATAAAATGTTTTAAAATTTTAAAATTGATGTATTGTTTAATATTATAATAATAACAATTTTTGAAAACTTTTTTCTTTAAAAACATGTAAACTCCAAATATCAAATCGCTCTTGGTTGGTTTTCCCTTTTTTCAACCGACTTCTAAAAAAGGAGGAGGTTCTCACTTCTACTATATTTTTATGTGTAGTTTTTTTTTCTAGGAGAACCGATTTTTATTTTCCGATTCTATCCTTAATAATGCATAACTATGCGTAAAGAGATCCGTGGTTGCACAGATAGTTAGCGATCGCTTTAAGTTTTGCAGTACGTGAAGAACCCGGTTTCGATCCCCACCGGCACCAATGAAATTATTAATTGCAATTTTAAGTGCTGATTTATTACGCGCTCGGCTGTGAAGGAAAAAATCACGAGGAAACCTGCATGTCTGAGAAATAAGAAAAAAATATTTCGAAGACATGTGAACTCCGCCATCACGCGGGCATCACGGCGGACACTTCCTTGCCCTAAAAACGCTCACAAAAATGAGAGGAGACTTGTGCCCAGCAGTGGGACGTATACAGGCAACTTTAACTTTTAACTTTAATAATGCGTATATAACTGACTTCGATTATATTTATGATGTTCTTATTTTATTTATATTGAATTTAGACATGGGACGAGTACTCGGTTTGGATTCGGTACTTGGCGGATTCGGCCTTTTTTTAGGGTTCGACCGAGCATAATTAATTATTTTCCAGAGAAAAATAAAGACAACAAGCCAGTTTTTATCATTATTATTATATTAGACACATTAAAACATCAGGAACATGAGATGCAACAAATATATTTTGAACGTACATAAGAATCTATAATAGAAATTATAATTACTAATATTTAAAATTTTAGAGAGGAAGTTTGTGATGCAAAAACACTAGTTTTGTCGGACCTATTTGGGTCTAGTTTGTAAGGGAAATAACCACACGCCACCCGCTACCGCGTTTTTTTAAAGCCGAGTATTCGGCAGAGTACTCGGCCCAATCTAGGCCGAGTACCCGGTGGCCGAGTACTCGGCGAATCACTACTCGTTCCATGTCTAATTGAAATTTTAATCTAACCACTTCTATTGGTTTTGTATAATTTTATGTTCAGGTAATGGAATATATAACATCCTGCTCGCGTTGACATGTGCCCTGTCCCTTCTGGCGATCGGCGCGGACCTCT